GGTGAATCCACTTTCCTTCGTTTTTGCCTAACTACCTTTGACTCGTGCTCTGGATGGCCTGGCTGAGTGACTGAGTGACTGCCTTGCTGTAGCCCCTAGGCTACGGGAGTGACAGACTTTCTAGATTCCGACGGCAAGTACGCTGCCATTCTCAGCTATCTTACTTAGTAAGTTGTTGCACTACCAAGCGGCGGGGTCAAATGTACTGCAAAGCTACTATTGTATAAGCGACTTTCCAAGCACCGGTTGTACTCTGGCTGACATAACCACTGCCAAGTGTTGGCTCCGGTAAGTTCCAAAGATCTATTTTCTATTCAGGGGCGTAGGAGGGGTTTTGGAAGTGGTACGGCCGAAGGTTGGTGCGGCCGAAGGCCGTGTTGGAGGGAGGTCCGGGGGGCCTCCCGCGGGAAATTTTTGTAAAAAGGACACAAAATCCTGCGTTCTGGGAACTTCTGGCACACTTCTGGCGCAGTGTACGTGTGCAGTAGGACTAAAAGTAGGACTAAAAGCACCTCCGACATGGCGATTTTTTCAAGTGCGAAGAAGAAGAGTAGATGTACGTTAGGAACTAGGTGTTACCCCCAGCGCAGGCAGCTGATCGCGCGAGTATCAAGCAGCACGAACACCAGGATTTCGCTGTGCCTAGTGAGCACGACGTAGTACACGATTCTGTACTATCTCCTGTTTGCGAGGAACAAGGAGAACAGGCGGCGGCTTGGATTTACGACTCGTGCACTGGCGGAGAACAGTGAGCTGCCGTCATTACCGATCGAACTGGTTGGTGTCGGAGCTGATGCAGTATCTCTCACCATGATCAGCCTGATCCCAGCTCCCATCGACAGCGTCTTCTGGATGTCGTTCGCAACTTAGTTACTGGAATCGCAAGCTCCACGAAAGACGGCATCCGTAACATCGGCGTGTTGGTGACTTGCCGTCCGTGTCGGCAATGGCCAAAGCCGATCTGGTGACTTGACGTCCTTGTCACAAAGCTGTGTGAAGAAGAGGGGTAGGTTCGCCAAATCGAAGCGTGCATATGCCATCCGCTCAAGGCAAGGATAAGAGGCCGGCTGTGAACCAAATAATTAATTTCATCTGATTCGTGTGAAAATGTATGTAGCTAGGTGGTGGCTATGCAGTAGTTTGACCATGTTTTGAGCCGATTTCCCATTTGATCGCCAGAGAAAAATACACCCATTTCGCCGTACATAAATGGCTATAACTTTAGAATGCCTGGACCGATTTGGTTAAAAGTGGTACCATTGGATTTCTTATTACCTGGGTGACATTGTCCAAGAACAAGCTAGCTTGAATTATGAATTTGAATTTTATCCTGCAATCCCTACTGTTGGCCGTCTTGCAAGGCAGCTTCGCCCAAGTGTAATGTTCTGTGTGTGGATGTACCGGAGCAGAACACGAATTCTCAATGTTCACATTCTCCTTTGTTTCACTCACAGGTGAATCTAGCGAACTTCACTTTTGCTCAATGTCTATTGCTTTACCGTATTTTCTCCATTATAAGCCCAGCGCTTGTATCTTTTCAACCAGTCCGGACAACGGGCTTATATTGGAGGTTGGGCTTCTACTAGAGACTGAGCTTACTTCGAAGTATAATTTTTCAACCACCTGGTGCATGTACATTGCCTATTATTTTTCATTATAAACGTAGCAGAAATTTCCCAGCAGGTACCGGGACTGAAGTATTTTGCTTTCTGGTACACTGAGTCTGTATAGACTATCTCGAGTATCACAGTCCTACAACAGCATGACTGATTGTGTTTATGTGATACTGTGTGACATCAAACCTGCATGGACATGATCCATACGGTTCTCCATTACAAGCCCTGCGCTTATGTTGGAGACTGCGCGTGCATATCTTCGAAGCCCTCTTGGAGTGCGCTTATAAATTAGACAGAGCTTCTACCAGAGACTGCGCTTGTATAGAGGTAACACGGGATTCCTTTTTCACTGCAGCCCCTTAGAACCTTAGTTACATCGCATATTTCACAGTGCATAATGAATATGCTGGGAGATGTAATTTTTACACTTGTCCGTGGTACGATTGTTGGCCTGGGTCATCAACAAGCAGCAGCCATCTCAGCGGCCAAAATCACCCAAAAAAGGTGCAAAAGGAATATCATTTTTGAGACCCTGCTTTTCGATTTTTCCATTACTTTATGCACAGGTACAAACATGTCTCCAGCATCAGTAACACGAGACCATTCAGAAGATATTACAAGGCAAGTGCACCTCAGCATTATTTAATTGAAGATCAGTGCTGTTGGGTCTTGCATGCTTATGATGAATAAAGGTGGCTATAGGTATTCAGGATAGCCATGTGTTGTGCTGTCCTGTGATGATATGGCTATCTGTTCTGACGCATGTATTGGGAAAAGGTTGTGTAAACAGAATGTAGGACAAAATTAGGGAAGATTGGCGGCTACCGTAGTGACGCGCATATAAGCACATGTGCCTATGCCCGGGCATAAGCGCACCCTCAGAAATAAGCGCAGTACATCCTGCGACACACAGACACCACAAAAACACCATGTTCACATAGTTCAATGTGCAATGCAGTACTAAACTATGTGCATACTTATGCAAGGGACCGGTACACTAGCAACTCAGGCGCAAAACAACAAAACAACCCGCAATAATTAGCAAATACGCAAAAACTCACTCATAAGCGCATGGGCCTTATGTGCGTCACTACTGTATGCAAACAAGACGAAATGAAATTCATTCCATTTTTGGTCAGATGCGTAAATTCTGCAAAACTCTAGCCTTATTGGCTGTCACTGATCAACAAGCTTTTGTGTCCTTCCGCAAAAGCGTTCCTCTCTGTTCACAGCTGGATGGTTGCCATTGCATTGAATTGCTAGCTAGGTGATTCAGTATTTCTGATGGCCTTAGTTAACAGCCATTGAGATGTGAATTGTCCAGTTCTGAGCGACTTTACTTTTTGTTTTGATCATTGAGAATGTATGCATTGAAAGAAGAGTGAGTGATGAGTACGGAGGTGTATACGTTTATGACGGTTGCTATTGATGATTATTGTGCCTGAAGTAGTCTGTAGTCTTTCCATACAGTAGGCATATCTGAAGCAACACAGGTCCTATTGAGCTTTAATAATGACATGTTGTTGGAAAAGATGAGCTGTGTATCTGAACTTTGCTTGAAATATATAAGCATCATCGCAACAGTTTGATGGATAACACTACTGCTATGAATTAGGGGTGAAACGAACATCGAATTTTGAATACGAACGAACTCTCACACTAACGAACGAACTCGAACGAACATTCTCCATTATGTATTTCATGGATGAATTTTTTTTGAAGACCATAGTTAATTTATTATTATTTTATTACAGTCTGTCAGTACTGGCGTTCTCTGTACTTGGCTGGCCACAGTTCAGACGGTGTACGATACACTGCCAGAACAGAAATATTTTTTTATCGCGTCCGCCTGAGCTGAATCACAGGGTTTTGCAGGTAGCTGCAAAGTCCATCACCATCGTCCGGACGAGAGTTTTCTTCTCATCGCTAGCTCAGGTCGTCAGAGCAGGAGAACGGTACTTCTTGACGTGGGTACGAAGATTGCTTGTCGTCGCTCTGCTGTGTGATAGAACCTTTTTGAAATTGAGAAAATGACTTCGTCTTTCCCGACCACTTTATCAAATTCCGCTCCAACTCCGGATCGCGATGAAAGGCTCGAATGTTTTGACATGATTGCAACGAGTGCACGTTTGCTTTCAGGAACAGATGTCACAAGCGACTCGAATCCTTTCACTACGAGTACAAATCTAACTCAAACGGACACACAGAAATATTTCAAGAAACTTTGTCCCGACGCGACACTCAACTCCTTCAACTTGCTTCAACTTCAAGTGATCATCAAGGCAAACACAATCGATCAGCTTGCAAGCTCACGATCTCCCAACCTCCGCGGCTCCTTCGTGATCTAGTCACAAGCGATCTTTATGCTTGCTTGCTGTGTTCGTTTATCAATCTTGCGAGTTCGTTCGTTCGTTTTCAAATTTTTCGAACGAATATTCGAACTTTCGTTCGTTCGTTTCACCCCTACTATGAATGCAGTTTCTTTGTGGCTTTGAAACCTGTGGTTAAGGCTCAAATAGTGCATCTAAAGTGCGCACTATTCTCCGACAAATACGGTCTAGTATGACTTATACTACGGAAATCATACCATGTCAAGTTGATGTACTTTTCACTGTACTTTGTGTTTGCATCTGGCAGATGTCTTTCCTGCGGAGTTATTTCAACTTCTAGTGGTGGTCATTTCCGAGAGGGAATAATATTGTAAGCACTATTGACGCAGTAAATTGGTTCTCCGTTTGCTGGTTGATGAGAGCAAATTTTGAGTACGGTATTACCCACCGTGTAACGTTTTCCCACATTCCATGCCAGATCTGGGCAGGGATCTGTTCAACATAGCCATTTCGACAGGTTTCAGCATGGGAACAATAGCTGCCGGGTGGAAAGTGAAATGTTTGTAAAATGTGACTGGTGTGGTGTTCTAGTCGAAATGAGGTGTGTAACATAGTTTTAACGCACTCTCCACATACAGGCATGCACCCGACTCGGAACACATTGTTTTCTGGTTGGCATATCAGGGATATTGGGCGGAGCAGCTGGCGTGCATGAGAAAGACAGGTCGGCCTGCTCTGCGCAGGTGCTGTGACCCGGTGCACACATAGTGTGTGTGAGAGAGAGAGAGACAGACAGGTCGGCCTGCTCTGCGCAGGAGCTGTGACCTGGAGCACACAGAGTGTGAACGAGAGACGGTCGGCCTGCCGTGGGCAGGAGCTGCGACCGGTAGTGATTGAAATGAGCCAGCTGCGGAGATAGACTGACCGTTCCCAATATCCCAAATATAGCATGAGAGTAATAATGAAATACGATTGGTGTATTGTGCTGTACTGACAGCAGCAATGTAAAGCTAAAGCTAAGCAGTTCAGGCACGATGTGGTCACTAACCCGCAGCTACCATTGATGACTTTGAACTGCAGCTAATTGACGTGACACTCGCAGGGTGTCAGCTGTAGCAGCCCGGATGTAGCGGTGGACCGCATCACTGCGCCATCTACCCATGATACGGATGATGTGTTCGGGGACACCTGCCATGGCCGCTGATGTTGCGGCGCCAATCCGGAAAGAGTGACTGGCATAAGCACTCGGGTCCGTGACCCCACAGAGTGGCAGCAGGTTGCGCAGTTCAGAGGACACTGCATTTTTTGTAAGCGGCTGGCCATTAGCATAAGTGAACAGATGGTCGCCGCCGGGGCGAAACGCCAGGTAGTTTGCCATGGCCTGCACTGGGTAGATCGGTGTGTCCGTGCTGGCTCCAACCAATACTGTGTGGCCCGTGCTGTCGGGGTCCGTCTTAGATGAGCGCACGTTTACCGATAACGACCGCTGGTCAGTACTGATCGTCACATCACATCGCCTCAGGCCAGCAGTCAGTTCTCCACAACGGAAGAACCCATGAAACGCCAAGGAAAAAGCTGCCCTTAGCATGGCCTTGTCGTGAGGGTGCCGCATGCGTGGAACGGCAACATGCCGGCAGATCTCCCTGAGAAGTGGAGTGGTTATCGGCAGACGATGACGCTGTGTCGATGACGACCTGTCGATGCCCCGCAGGACCCTAGCGAGGAGAGTTGTTGGGCCCGACGGGTAAGCAAAGCCAAGTTCCACTTGAAGGTTGCGGATTGCCGACATGTAGACACGGACAGATCGAGGCTGAAGAGTCCTGAACAACTCGGCAGCAAAATAGCACAAAGTAAAGTCGTCTCCCGGCAATGGGTTGCAGGCATGCACTTGGCAGAACTGGAAGTAGCGGGTCTCGGCGGTAGAATACGTCCGGCGGGAGGATGGTGCTATTGCCAGTGCTGCTAGCTGTAGCACGGAGTCTGTCAACGGAGAGTTGGCAAGACTGGCTCATCTGACTCGGCTGCTGCTTCCGGGGCCTGGTGCCTGAATACCTGCAGCAAATTGCGAGACAATGCATCGGCGACAGTGTTAGTGACACCAGGAATGTGGACAGCTGACACCAAGAAGTCATGCTCAATACACAGCAGATACAATGCCCGGATAAGTGTCATGACTGGCGGTGAACGGCAGGTACCGGAGCGTATACAGTCCGCCACGGCCTTGTTATCACACTGAAACTGAATGCGTCACCTGCTCCACTCCGAACCCCAGGTCGCGCAGGCAACTATGATAGCATACATTTCTTTGAACTCAATGTTCTCGTTCTCGTTCTGGCCTGTCCACTCTCCTCTCAGCCACCGGCCGTTGTAGAAGGCACCATAACCGTGAGTGCCGCTGGCATCAGTCTGTAGTTGCATGTCGGGGGCTGGCGTCCACTCATCCACCAGGAAGAATGACTTCCCATTCCATATGGTCAGGGCCTCTGCCCACCACAACAAGTCTGCCATTGCCGATGCCGAAATGCGTAGCCATTGGTGCAATGGTGTTGATCAAGTTGCTCTGTCCAGGTCGTACAGGCGTCTCAGGAATGTGCGACCAGCGGGTACAGCTCTGGACGCGAACGAGAGTTTGCCCAATACGGAGGCGAGGTCGCGTTTCTGAACCCGGCCGGATTGGACGAGGGCCGACACAGTGGTAGATAGCTTAGTCAGCTTTGAGGGTGGAAGGCGCATCTCCAGAGCCATTGTGTCCGGCTCTAAGCCCAGGAAGGTGAGAACGGTAGAGGGGCCATCAACCTTCTCAGGTGCAACTGGGACCTGTAAATATGCAAACAGGTCGAGCAGTAGTGACTTCTGGTGCTGGGCAAGAGGAGGACTGGGAGGCGATACATTCAGGAAGTCATCCAGATAATGAATGAGATGGGGAAGGCGGCATGTGTCCTCCAGAACCCAATGAAGGGCAGATGCAAACTTGTCAAATATGTACGGAGCTGACCGAAGGCCGAACGGGAGGACTTTTTCGAAATAGTAACGACCATCCCAAGAGATACCCAACAAGTGCCAGTCAGAGGGGGCAACAGGGCATAATCGGAAAGCGTTTCGAATGTCCACTTTGGTCCGGTAGCAACCACGGCCTAACTTCATGATATAGGAGATAGCCGAATCGACAGTGTCATACTCCAAGCTGAATGACTCCCGGGAAATACCATCATTGACACTGCAGCCAGTGGAGGAGGATAGGTCATGGATGAGGCGAAATTCGCCATTGGATTTTGGGATCAGGCCCAAACCCGAGGTTTGAAACAGCTGATATGGCGGCTCAGCAAACGGACCAGCTGTTTCCCCAGCATCGCAACAAGACTGTAGGTACAGGGTGACAAATTGTTTATTGCAGAGACTAGATGGATGATTGACAGATTAAATGCATGATACCAGAGGAGTGGTGTGACCAATCGAGAAACCGTTACACATGCGAAACAGGGCATCAGGGTGAGCAGCTAGTAGTGCAGTTAGCCGAGGCACGTTGACTGGAGTGACGACGTCACTGGGAAGACTGAGAGGCCGCTCGGGTGCAAGTCTTCTTTGGGTGTTTGCCGCGGCATGACAGACAGACATGGGCCCGTATGCAGGACGGGTAATTGACAACTGACGGACAAACCAGTGAACAGTCAAGTCGTCAGAAGGCAAAAGTGACAAAGGAGTCTCTCTTTTCTCTTTCTCTCTCTCTAAAGCAAGATTTGGAAAGCACGCGTGGGAGAGTGGCGCGCGCTGCGCATGCGCATGTATAGCAATGACATAATGAGATGCATGATCATCAGACTAAGTATGAGTGGTAGATGTTCCACGTTCGTTAACAGGGCTTAGCGCACACGCTAAACCACCATTAAATACATCCGCTTGATCGGGGAAATTTTATGAAGGTTATGCAGTTGATGTCATTGATGTCATTGAAGGGAACTAGCGGATTTTGTTTAAGTGTACGACACGAGCCGGTCTAGATAAAAAATCATATTGGCATGTTTAGCAGTATCCCAAGTAATGTGTGCATATGATGACATCATCACCTGTAGATTACAAGCTATGATCTCATCACACTCTGTGAGGACATCAGCCAGGTTTGTTTCCGGTGATTGATCTGATGCATTCGTAGACCAGCATTGTACACACACTTGTAAGAGTGTATTTTGACTTTTGATACACCGGATGATGTTGTGGTACACATACCATGTGAGAGGTTCAATTCTGCATTGAGACAAAATGCGGGCAGGGAACCGCTCTGATTGGTGATGGGTACTATGGAGTGTACGTGTAAAGATTGACAATGGCTGAATGGAATGAAGATGTGGGAAGATAAACAGAAAGAAGAAAGGAGCATGAGGCACGGTGTAAAATTGATGACTACTTTCAGTTGAGACTTCATACAACAAGAATCATTTTGAGAAGAAGTAGCGACGACCGGGCCATTATGGACTCCAATACATTTTCAATATCAATCTATATAATATTATCGGAATTGTCCTCGCTGTGGTGTTTTTGACGTGAGTGCAGAGTTTGGATTGGCCAAGAGCGCAATAAATGAATGAAGGAATGAATGAAGAAATGAGAATCATTTTAATTTTTTTTGTCATAGTCGGAAAAAAGGGGGATAGTCAGTCAACTGACAAACTATCAGTTGCTATGAATAGCAGCTGCCCGAATAGAGCGGTTGTCAGTTGGAGAAGAAGACAGTTTTCAAATATTTGTCTATTGAACCGTGCGTGGGCTGCTGTTGCTGATGATGACACTGCTGGGTCCCTCACACTGGCACAAGACTGGACTGGTGCATGGGGTCTGGCCACGGCCTGCTCTTTGCAGTGCCAGGTCTGAAGCATGCAGCCTTATAGCAATGCAGCCCTATTGCCATGCTGCCATTCTTGGTCATTTTTTGGTTCTAGTAAGTACCCTAATGATGGGCCAGGCCCGAAAAATTTAGTGCTATTTTAAATTGAACCGCAGTTAAGTTAAGAACGTCAGTTTCATAAATAAGTACAACCAAATACTTGTTTGTATGAGAACGGGATTCCTCGTGTTATGCGAATTATTCAATCTAAAATCTGATTGGGATCACTAACAGCCTTCTGTTGCACAATTCCTGAACTGACTATTGTCCACTTTAAGCTGCCTAATATTCACAGCAGATAAATGTTCCCTATTTTCGTGAGAAGAGCATAACGCGAATATTAACCAGCGTGAAATCAAACTTCAACCATGGGTATGATGGAGGTGGCCCCAATGCTTTGCGAACGATTGTACATGTCTTTGCAAACTCGCTGGTTCTAAAAAAAGCGCGGATTTTGGGCGGATTTTGGGCGGATTTCGGGCGATTTACATTATGTATGCTATATGTGTAGTAGACAAATGAGGTTTGGCTCCTTCAAAATACTACAATTTACAAATTACTATTGTGGAAATACTGGTGAAAACACGTGATTAAATCGAAGGAAAACACTAGTTGGCCAGTTGTCTGCTCTCTGTTGCTCTATGTGGTGTTGCATGTGGGTTTCCAGTCTGCAAAGAGTGTGTTTTTGGCTCAAACTGTGAGCATGGCTAGGAAACCAGGACATCTAGGAGTTGCAATTTCTAAACTAGTCCGTGGTATGATTGCTGGCCTGGGTCATGAGCAAGGAGCAGCATTCACCCAAATATGGTGCATAATGAATATGAGTTTTGATAAGTTGGCCTTTGCGTTTTCGATTTTTCCATTATTTCCTGCACAGGTACAATTCAACATGTCTCCAGCATCAGTAAAACGAGACCATTCAGAAGATATTACAAGGCAAGTGCACCACTGTCTTATTTTGTTGAAGATCAGTGCTGTTGGGTCTTGCATGCATATGATGAATAGAGGTGGCTATAGGTATTCAGGATAGCCATGTGTTGTGCTGTCCTGTGATGATATGGCTATCTGTTCTGACGCATGTATTGAGAAAAGGTTTTAGACAAAATGTACTTCAAAATTAGGAAAGATTGGTAGCCATGCAATCCAGAACAGAACCAATACTATTTCCATGTTGGTCTGATGCATAAATTCTGCAAAACTGTAGCCATATTGGCTGTCACTGATCAACAAGCTTTGTGTCCTTCCGCAAAAGCTTTCCTCTCTGTTCAGAACCGGATGTTAAATTTTAGTTGTTGACTAGGCGATTCAGTATATCCGATGGCCTTAGTTAGCAGCCATTGCGATGTGAATTGTCCAGTTCTGAGCTACTTACTTTTTGTTTTGATCATTGAGAATGTATGCTTCGAAAGAAGAGTGAGTAATGAGTATGGAGGTGTATCCGTGTATAACGGTTGCTAATGATGATATTGTGCCTGAAATAGTCTTTAGTCTTACCATGCAGTAGGCATATCTGAAGCAACACATGGCCTTTTGAGCTTAAATAATGACATGTTGTTAGAAAAGATGAGCTGTACTTTGCTTGAAATATAAAAGCATTACCGCAATAGTTTGATGTATAACACTACTTCTATTTAAGTGTATGCATTTTCGTATTCGCTTTGAAAACTGTGGTTTGGAGGATTAAATAGTGCATCTAAAGTGCGCACTATTCTCCGACAAATACGGTCTAGTATGACTTATACTACGGAAATCATACCATGTCAAGTTGATGTACTTTTCACTGTACTTTGTGTTTGCATCTGGCAGATGTCTTTCCTGCGGAGTTATTTCAACTTCTAGTGGTGGTCATTTCCGAGAGGGAATAATATTGTAAGCACTATTGACGCAGTAAATTGGTTCTCCGTTTGCTGGCTGATGGGAGCAAGTTTTGAGTACGGTATTACCCACCGTGTAACGTTTTCACACATTCCATGCCAGATCTGGACAGGAATCTGTTCAAGATAGCCATTTTGACAGGGTTAAGCATGGGAACATTAGCAGCCGGGTGGTAAGGAAAATGTTTGTAAAATGTGACTGGTGTGGTGTTAATCTAGTCGAAATGAGGTATGTAACATAGTTTTATAAACATCCGCTTGATCGGGGGAAAGTTTATGAAGGTTATGCAGTTGATGTCATTGATGTCATTTAAGGCAACTACAGTCCGTTTCAAAAAGATTTACAATCCTGGCGATCGCCCGCGGAGTTTGGCGTCTTACCGTATGAGCACTCGAGCGCTGCCTGGAAAAACTCACTGTGAACTCGAAGAAATATTCCGCGCGAAAGCAGGAAAAATGACAACTCACTCACGTTGACACAGTCATGTACGTCTGGTTTACAACAAACGAGTTCTTCCTCGTATCGATAACGGAGAGAGGACATGTCGAAACGAAAGCGTTGTAAATGTTGACGAGCTGCATGGGTCCGTTTTGTGACCAAAATAGTTTCTTTGAGCTGCGATGCAATTTACTCACCGTGTGACGAAAACGACATCAACACGGACTCGTTCCCAAGGCCATGACTTGGCAAAGCTATCCGTGTGACTTCGACGACATTTTGAGAAAAGCAGACGCTTGTGAACGCTGATCAGGGAGTCGTAAAATACCGGTATTTTACGACTCCCTGCCGCTGATAGAAGACGGCGTTGACTGCTAAATTCAAATAAATTGCCGATCTTGAAATACTAAAATAAATCTCAAAAAGCTACAGCACGATGACTTCCATTATAATTCACTCACACCATTGCAGTGTTGTGGGTGTGTTCACATGGCGTGAGCCAGTCAAGTGTCAGTCAGTTCGGCAGGAAGCGCGAGCTCCAACAACAAGTCGTTTTGTGCAGCCCAGGCATCTTCTTTGTCTTGTACCAGCTTGATCACCAAAACAATGAAAAAAACGTTTGATTTGAGGATAGGTTGGGATTTGAACTCACAACTTCATGGTCAGCAGACAGCATTCATAACCACAAGGCCAAAAATGAAAGGATAAATCGTGGGTTTTGATAAAAAATCGATACTGGCTTCCTGGGCAAATTGTAAACCATGGGAAAAGGCCGGAAACCTGGCCGAAATTCTATCTCCTTAACGGTTGGTCCAATTGTTCCGAAACCTTTACAGAACAATTTGCCGTGTCCTAACAAGCCATTCTATGTACTTTTTTTGTCCAAACTTCCCTTATCTTCATACTTTTTAAGACCCAAACCTGATTGTGAATCTTTTTGAAACAGACTATA